TATTAGTAACGGGTGACGACATTTAGACTAGACACTACAGACTTTTATTCGCTCGTCATTTATGTCTGGGGAAAACACGAACCGATTGTTTAACGTTAGACAATAAGTTAGCGTTTTATGACGTATTTGTTGGGTTTATTGGCATCAAAATAAAACGCGTAGTTCAACGAAAAGGCCTTTATCGGGGAATTCATTTTCTGTTTTAGATGTATACTGGCATTTATGTACAAATTTTTCATGGAAAAGAGGTGAAACAAGAGTGATGAGCTGTCGGAAACATAGTTCTTAGTGTTAGTCAATGCACAAAAGAAGTTGAATGAGTGTATTAGAATTGCGCAATAATGTATATATGGACTTTTCTATAGTTTGGTTTGTAAGGGTTAGTTTTGTTTTTACGAGTTGATCATAGATTGATATCAGTTAGATAACCATTGAAAAACAGCCACAGGGAGTACTGGACATCCTAGTTTGGGACTCTTCATCAGCGCACACCTACTGGGGTTCAAACTCATGACCTACTGGTTACAAGGCAAGCTCGTATACCATTCTGCCAATCCGTGATCAACTCGTACAAACAAAAGTAACCCTTAAAAACCAAACTATAGAAAATTAATCTGATGCTCGTTAGTGACTTGCTAGAGGATGGAGTTTCCTGGAGTTCTAGTGAAAAGTTGTGACCATTGAGGTTCATACAGTGAAGTACTAGGATGGATGTCCCACCTAAGACAATGGTTTGGTTTGCGCTAAATCACGAATTGGTAGAAGTTTGAATTCATGCACTGGCCACTCAACCGAGTCCCAGTGGCTGAATGGCATACGAGCTTGCTTTGTAACCGGAAGGTCCTGGGTTCGAATCTCAATGGATGCGTCCTGCCGATAACTCCAAAACTAGGATGCAACATCTGTCCAGTACTCCTTGGCTGGTTTTCAATGGTTCTCTTGCTGATATCAATCCGTGATCAACTCGTAAAAATGCGTAAATGTATATGAATTCTAAAGGAATACAAGGGTTATCATTAGGAGTGCGAAAATAACAGGCGGGAAAAATGAGGTCATTGGAAATCAACCAGTTTCCTTAGCATGACGGTGGGAGTAGTTAAATGATTCGCTGTTGCATGTATAGCTCCGGTTTTTCTAAGTGAATGACTAAGGTTTCAGTACTGCGCAGTGGAGACAAAAGCGCATTTTCTTGAGAGGTTGGGATCATCACCAGTGTTGACAAGGTGTTCGATTATCGTACTCTGTAAACATCCATAATTGTCTTTCCACCACTATGGAGGATGGTGTCCCTGAACTATTTTAGACAGGATATGTGGCAAACGACCAGTTTACCTGGTTCTACATAGACATGTGAATTGATAATGCCTAACTAGTGTTTCCTGCCCTTCCACTCAAATAATACGAAGAACATTTCTATTTAGACTGACTGCAAATAATTACAAAATTAACTATCACTTAATGAGTGTTTCAACATTAATCAAAATCTATTTGTTTTCATGCATCGCTTTAATAGATAGATAGACTAGTCATGTGAGGATTAATAAAACATTATTAGCTTATCATGTTTATGTGAGATAATATCCCTAACAATTAATCCAGGTTGATGTAGACAGCTGGAGATTCATTGAACTCACTTACTGGTAACTTAATAAAACTACCCACAGATATCACTGAAATTTAAATGTATAACGCTAGTGAATGGCAGTCATCAAACGCGAAGCGCAAACTATACCTTTAAATAATCCATTGTGAATAGAACGTTAAATAAGACACTGATATCTATCAGTGAACCAGTGAAAACCATGGGTTACTTGTAAAATATTTCGTCCTTGTGTGGGACTCTTTGGCAGCACACACCCTTGTCCTTCCATGGAGTGAACCCAAAGCTTTCAGTTTGTGAGACGAATGCTTTAAAAATTCAGCTATTGGGGCAATACTCAAGGACAGATAAATTTCATCGTCTGCCATATCGTGATATTCTGCGCTATTGCCAACCAAATGTCATTGATGATTAATTATCCTCATTCCCGGCTTAATGAACCTCACTGGTCACGACTTTTCACTAGAACTCCAGCGACGCCATCCTGAAAGTTAGATACGATTGATTTACATTGAATCACTTAACGGGTAAGTGCATCCCAAAAGAGGATAAAACATCTGCCGGGTAATTCCCCTTTATCAGTATTTCTTTAACTGATAAACCGAAATGTTTGAAAATTTGAGGGCTATAATTGATTTGTAAAATAATATGGAGCAAGTAGATTCGGATATCGAGTGTGTCAAAACAAAATCGGTTCTTGTGTGGCATATATTTCTCTCGTATTCACACCAGTTTTAAAAATTCAGATGTGTACTAATTAATTACGCCGTATGCAAGTAAGAATTCATAAAGTATAAGTAAAATTACATAACGTTTAACGGAGAACAATGAAAGTTCAGTCCGTAAAACAAAATGTATCAAATCATCAAATTACACAACTGAACTCCTCTCACAAATAATCACTTATATTTATTCAATAAACATTCTGCTATTTTGTTAGGCACTTTAAATACACATTAGAATAAAATGTTTCCAATCTCTAGACCTCTTACAATCCGATTCGTTTGAATAGTTTACCATAATGTTATATGAAAGTTGACCGATTCTAGGAGATACTGGTTAACGTCAACACTTATTTCAGGATGATCCTTACTGTCTTAGCGTGATAGAAAATACTTCAGCACTGAGTGACGCGGGTTCAAATCTCCAGAAGGACATAAGTTACTTCAAGAAGGCGGGTATGTCTCCCTGATCAGTAGCAGCAAGAAAGAAACCTAGATGCTGAGCATCCTGCCGATTGCTTCCAATCATCTAGTTACATTAATTCTGAGTGCACCCTGATGGCGAGCCACCAAGTAGCATGACACTAGTCACTAACTAGTGTTCAATGAAAGTGTTCAACAACTGAATGAGTCATTGCTTCAGCACTCACATTCCTTCGACTGTTTACTCGAGTTAGGATATAAGAATGTTATGAGGAAGTAAATATTTTTGATTTATCATATTATTTGTACTTCTGAAGTCCGGGATCAAAAATATGTAGACAGACTGTAGTTTCATCATCATCATCGTAGAATGACACTAGACTTTCACTGTCGGTGTATAACCTGAGTGTGAATTTTCGGAGAGAATTCAGGATTTAACCGAAATTCATCTGCAAATAAATGTTTGGTTAAATTTGAAATGAATACCATGGAAATTCCTTGATAACTTTTGACTTAATATAGATTAAAATAAAATCTGTTATCTTGTAGGGAAAAAAGTCAGCACCAGAAAATTGCTGAAACTCAAAAATGTCTCAATTTCGCGCCTGATATCTGTCGATTCAACAGTAACCACATATGCATGGGTAACAGTTTCTTCGCCCTTCATTTTACCGCTTCCAAAAAGTGGAAACATAACGTTGACTTGGGTATAGAGGCAACATTTTCGGGTGATTTATTAGACGTTATATATATCCTTGTATCCTTCTTTCGCATAGCTCCATAATTCATTTTCATGACAGTATGGAATAATAGAAATAAATAATAGGCCACATGGCTACTCTTATCATGTTTTTCAAAGGTTACTCCAATTTATTCCAAGGGAGATATAAGTGAAAAGTCTTCCTGAATGTCACAAGCAATGATATGGCAATAACCAAATGATGTATTACTGTGTGTAATTGGTTAAGTCAGTTCCACTTAGTCTTAAAGACATTTCGAACTCCTTCCTTATTTCATAGGAAAACGAACCTTTGGAATTATAAATGTACATTTTTGTTAGCATAAGAGAACCAATTAGTAACGTCGAAATTGGAATTTTGTTTGAAGCACTTAAATGTATTCAACTTTATGCAAAACATGAGGAATGCTTTCATGGATTTAGGAGGCGAATCTGTGTAGCTTTTATTGGATGTTTTTCTTACGTGATATAAAATACTGATCTAAAAGCACTAATTATTATTATTCTCTTGGGTTCCTACAAGGAACATAGGGCTTCAGCAATACATCTCCACTTTGTTCTATTTTCTTCTATCCTCTTCAGTTTGGTCCACGATTGCCCATAATCTCTTAACTCCGCCTCTCCAAACGATCTCTTCCACGCCGCCTGCGTTGAGCGCAATGTTATTCAACGGCCTCCTCAACGTATGCCCCATCCATTTCTAGCCGGCTCTTGGTCGGTTTGTGCCAGCAAGAGTTTCTTGTGGCTAATACTTCCCGACCTGCTGCCTATTTGACCTTCACTATGGAGCAAAGACAGCTGTTGATAAAAGTCCGCAATCTCTTGGAAATACCTATTGTGACACGCAGTACACGTTTCTAACCCACATAGAACTGACTGACTCAACATTTGTGTACAGAATCTGAATTTTGTGTTCTATGCTTCGGAGTTTGGAGATGTCCAAACTACTTTCAGGTTGATGAAGCCACTCTGGTAGATTTTAACACCTTCATCTATTTCGCCTGTGGTTAAGACTGTGTTTCCTGGCCAGAAAAGGGGAGGAAGTAACCTCTGACAAATCTCTCTCATTGATGGCGATTGCTGCTGGTTATTATTACTGTTGGCTTTTCGACTGGTTATGTTGATCACCGTATACACCTCTATATTCACCTCTATAGTCCTGTATTCGCTGCTCGTCTCTTCTGCCACCTTGTTGGTTTCCAACTGCCTGCAAGTTTTCAAGTTTGTGTGATAGTATACATATAATCATCTCCGACGTCCAGATCTTCTAGAGACTTCTTATCGGTGGTCCAGCACATTCCTATCTCCTCTCTCCTGAAGCACAGTCTGACGCTACAACTGAAGACGTCACTGGAGATAATAGGCAGCCAGCTTGTCATACTCCTGTACTTACTTCGAATGCCTCTCTGATTTTTCCGTTGTGGATTACCTGCGAGTACCATGGCTATATGTTTTCACAGTTAAATATATACCATTTTCGATCAATTCTAATAAAATTATGCATTTTTCATTTTAGATCCAAGCTGTAGATGACGACGCTGGTGAAAATGGTACTATCACCTACTTCATTCATTCTGGTAATAATGAAGGCTATTTCAAACTAAACAAACATTCTGGAGTATTGAGTGTTAACAAAGAGATATCCTATTCAGCCATAGGTGAACATTTACTGAGAATAGAAGCAAGAGACGGTGGACAACCATATCGTTTTACAATGGCAGAATTAATCATAGAAATTGATCAATCCGCTTCAAAAGCCTATTTAACTATGGATGCGTATAATTTCAATGGATTCAGTGGATTTTTCAACTTTGGTGCTAGTGGATATACACTGAACTTTTATATTATTGTTGGAATTATTACATCGGCTTGTATTATATCAACTGTCCTGATAACTTTTGTCTTTGTTTTTCTACGTAAAAATAAACAACAGCGTAATTTTCAACATATACCTATTGCAAGCGATAGAAATGGAAATAGTAATAATAATAATAATAATATTAATCATGGTGAAACGAATATGACCAATTCACCTTTAAGTTGGCAAAAAGTTGATCAGATGAACAGTTATGAATTTGGTACAATTCCCGGAGGATACGGAGGTAGACGTAACAGATATTCTTTTGCGTATTATTTTTTTTTGTACTGACAATTATATGTTACAGTGATGATTTAGTGTCTTGTTGTTCTTTGACTTTGCTGTAACGTTTCTAACTTGTATGATTTGATTCTGGATTTGAAACGTTCTCACAAAACTGAAACAGTGATTACGAATGTCTTTATTGTTTATAATTGGACTGATGAACGACAGGGTCTGCCTAGGATACCTAGGAAACTCTGAATCCAATAGCATGGCTGCAAGGAACTATGGAAACGTGGTTTCAAGCACTGCTCTACTCATATATGGGCCAAACTTAAAGCCGGGGGCTTGAGAGTAGTCTTTTAAGACAAACAATTACTTCAGTCTGAATAGCCTGACAGTATTCCAGTCTTCGGGAAAACTGTTAGGTTTTGTGTAGCGCATCTTTGGGTGCCAACAATGAATTGAATTTGTACTGTGATATATGAATACACATGGTTCGAAACAATGGCTATGAAGTTAAGTGGTCAAGTGAAAGATTTGCATGAAAACCTTTAGAAACATAAAGATGTTTGGACGCGATGATTTTTATGAACAAGCCGAAAAGGATAATTAGGAAACACTAAGTGCTTTTGACAAGCATTTCCCAGGTTCATCTTGACAAATTACTTCAGAGGCAAGCTCTTTCGTTAACTACATATACACTTCCAATAGTTTTCTTTAGATACCAGAAATATTCAGGCCAGGATATACAATCTGGTTCATATTGCAAATGATGAGCAATATATCGAGAAATATGCGAAGATGGTGCATACTACAGATCGAAATCAAAATATAGTGTCTTCTAGCCAGATCTTTCTACACAGTTTGCTATCTTGTTTGCCTTTAGTTAAACCAAGCAGATGACAAACCATTTCGATGTTCGTCTACCACGAGAAATTGCGTTGAATTTTCACTTCAAACTGTATTGTATGTTTCACAACATTAGTTTTACAAGTAGCTAATTTAGAATTCAAGCTGCCTGAAATATTTCAAACATTTGGTTTCTGAATGTTCTGGTTGTTTCTATCGTTCGAAGTTCAGCTTATAATCAGTGTATTCTGCAAGAATAAGCTAAGAGAACTAAAGTATTTCAAACAGTAGGTTCTCATCAGCTGCACACCGCTGCCTGGAATTACAGGGGTCATATAAATGATAATAACACACACTTTAATGTCTAAATGGTAGTAAAGAAGAAATATAATGAAATCGACACATCACAAACGCAAGCATTGCAATTTTTAGTTTAAGTTTTCATCATCAATTCACATGCTTTCAAAGTAGAAATCAGGAGGAAGGGTAAGACAGAAAACTGAAAAAAATTAACAAACAGTGTTAGCTCGTAGATTCACATAACATCTAAAGAACAGTTTATAAGACTAAGATTTATTCAATGGGTTAATCAAAATTCTGTTACCAAGACGGTGAGAGGTTATTCACACTCTCTTTCTGTATGCATGAGTCTGGTTTGAATCATTTGATTGCGATCGCTTCGGCAAATCGTAGTCAATTTGCTGTTTTTCGTCTATTTAATATTTTCAAGGACTTGGAAATCTCTGCAAAATCTCTACAGCACAACTTCTTTTATAATCCAATAAAAACTGGATAAATACCCTGCAGATGTCACCTCCAACTGTGTTTATGAATTTGCGTGCACTTGAGGGAGCAAGTACATTGGAAGGATAGAAAGAAGGTCTTATATCCGGTTTTCCGAACATATCCCAAGAAACTTGTGCCTGAAAGGAAGCGTATATTCTTAGAGTGGAATTACCGGGCACCTCGTGGAGATTTCTAAGCCCTTTAAAATATTAAATAGACAAAGGACAGGAAATTTACTATGATTCGCCGAAGCGATCGCAATCAACCGATTTAAACCAGACTCATGCATACAGAAAAACGGAGGTAGTATACTAATTAAGATACTCAGATAATTGGCGATAGATGAATTCTGTCGAATTCCCCAGGTACCGACGAAGTGCTAGGTTTCGTACTCATTGGTATTCGTCAGCAAGATGTATCTGAAAGCTTGAAGCAGCTGATTTCTTCTTTGAGGTTCTTCCTGCAGTGGAAGGTGTCATTACTGAATTCTCCGGGCTCACAACTGATATCTAGGTTCGCTAAGGACCAAACAACGTCATGTATCCAGTTATCACTTTTAGTCCTGACAAATAACTATGCATCAGTTTAACAGTATGTTCATCAAGCCGATGAAGGAGAGTCGAATACGTCTATGTGTAACCACGTTTTCAAATGTTATCGCCCATTGATGTTTAAAAACGTGAATTCAAATGAAACGATCTTTAGTATACAATTGGTGGATGATGGCTAGCAGTGGAATCCAGAAACGATCTTTACTTTGCTTCTTACTTGGAATTCAACAAAAATTTTGCATTTTTTCTCTTTTTTAATACACCATTATTTAGTTATCCAACCCCTTCCCGACTGTCTATCACAATTCTCGGCGATTGGTGGCAATTCAAGTTTACAACTGCTAAATTATCCAAATGGCAGTATCTATTCATCACCGAATACTCGAGATTTTCATACGGATCGAAGAAACTCCCCAGAATACTTCAAATATATGGAGAATCGTAATAATTATTTAGTAGATGATTGTAATAATAATAATAATATTAATAACATTAACAGAACTAATTATTGTAATTATAATATTGATAACAATATCAGTAGTAATGATACGAATTATTATAATGATACAATAGGCAGCAGAAAAATTAAAATCTTCATTCCTCGATCTCATCATGACACAATCAATGTGATGTCGACAACACACGATGAATCAACTTGTACAGATTTTAAATATCCTTATAAAGCATGTTCAAATTACTTTAATACAGAAATGCAAGAAGCGATTAATCCTATCCAGTCTTATCCAGCATGTTTGAATAATTGAATACATGATGAAACTAGGGTGGTTATTTGTACAGCACAAGAGTAAAGAATCATGTAAGTGAAGGTTTTTTCTAATTTCTACCGATTTTTTGGCTAATATATTCATTTCATTTCATTAAAAGGTGGTTAGATAAGTTAGTATGTGAAGTTTGAATAGTATAAATGTGGTGCATAGGAATTTGGGATAGTCGAACATAGGCCTTCAGCAACACATGTCCATTTTATTTTGTTCTCTGGAGTTCTTCATAGTAATCTCCATTATTACCTGTAAGCTTTCATCTTCTTCATTACACCCTGTACGTCGAAGTTCTTATTTTCCATCCAGGTTACAATAGACAGCCTGCCTGGAGCGTGGTACTTCTCAGCAGTGTAGTTAAGGTATATCCATTTGATTCCCATTGCCTTTGGCACATTTAGCGGTCAACAGAACTTAGAACGGGAAGTTTCCAGAGTTCTTTGCTGTTAATTGTTTCTGATAATGTGACCTTTCGCATCTAGACAGTGAATGTAACTGTTAATGAAAGTCTGCAGCCTTTTAGAAATTCGTTTGGTGATGTGGGTGCTGAGTCCTATTAAAAATATAGAACTTCAGACTAAGAATGACATTATTTCGGTGTATATGACGTCAGATGAGAAGCTGATGATGTAATACAGTCAACAGAACTCAGAAGATCAATAAAAATTATCTTTTAAGAGAGTCAAGCGAAAAATAAAGGGAGAAGGTGGAGTGAAAAGATAACCTAACAAAATTAACAAAATTAGAAAACAAAAAGTTACTAAGAAGTGAGTCACCAGGGTAATTGAAGTCTAACAACGGATTCTTTTTGGACACATAAATCAGCCTTCAATCGTTTTATTACTATAGCTTCAGCAAACCTAAGAAGACTTGAGGTACTTTGTCTGTTAATTATTTTGAATGATTTCAGCACATCTACTAGGTGTTCTGTGTCAATCAGGTGTTTGGGGATTGAAGAGCTTGAACAATTCGGTCCTTTTAACCGGAGGCTCGATGGTACATGTTCGCAGAATCTGACATAGGCCCTCCTCTCTGTTCTTCCAATGTAACTGCTCCCTCAGATACATATGAATTGGTATACACAGTTGGAGGTAACATGTGAGGAGTACTTGTCAATCTTTGACTGGACCAGTGAGGAGGTTGTTGGCGGGTAGAGAGACTAATAATGCTGCAGGATACATCCTAGATAGGGCTGCACTTAATCTTTTATTAACCATTCTCATAATGTAGTCTACCGTGAAGTGGGCAGCCGTTGATAAAAGTCTGCAACGAAGCTGATCATTAGTATGAGGTAAATCATCATTATTTTCATATCGACTTCTGCTGTCAACTAAATCTTTACAGACTGGAGATCTTTACATGAAGTAGATCATTTTATAAGTTCTTTATTCATTACTTTATTTTATTATGAAATATTGTATCCTTTTTGTCTACTGCAGGAGATAGTCTCCGGATAAGTCAAAATTCTTCATCATGAATAACTCCTGGGCACTCCTGAAGATGTTATACCCATGTAAACTTAAATGAAACTCGTGGACCAATATTATCGGGATGAGGAAAACAAGCCTATTTCCCACAGAAGGACAAAATCAAATTGCCCACTGGCACTCGGTATAAAACCTTTTAATATAAAATGAAAATTCACTGATTTTCCGCTCATTCAGTAATATCCTAAAATGACTTCAATTCATTACTTTGTCTCATGCATATTTATGACTGATAAACAACGGAATGACAGATATTCTGTCAGGATGTGTTCATTTGTCAAACCAGTAATCTGTATATACATATATATGTAAGAGAAACTTCTATGTATACCCTTTTAGGGAAACATTATTGTAAAACGGTTCCTTCTTCTTTTTCTATGGATAATTCCCTTTGATTATTTACAATAATTTACAAATACAATTATATGAATGATTTCCTCAGAAGTTGATTCCTGTTATTATGATTATTGCGTATAAAGTACTAATTTATACGGTTCCGATTGGTTTTAAGTGCAATTGGAGATTGATATCGGTTGAAGATAACAGTTGAAAACCACCGAGTTTTGAACAGCTGTCTTCTTCTAGTTTGGGCCCTTCAGCAGCTTGGAAGTTTTAGGTTACGAGGCAATGTATTGACATTCAATCATTGGGACAGAATTCGTTGACCTATGCAATCTGTCACTTTGCGATATAGCGCTGTCGTCATCCAATAGAGTCAGCGAGTATCTACTCTCATGTCAGATTTGGTAGACTTCGCTGGTTACGTCCCGTTCAAACTCGAGAAAATTCATCTCCTCTTCAGCCGTTATGAAGATGTGTATCAATTTTCGGGTATTCATCTGTAAGGATTTGATTGGTTGAAGTAACAGAAATTACAATATGTAGGCTTCTGTATTCTGTTCTTGTGTGGTGACAGGAGGCTGCTAGCCAATTGGTAGACTTTATTTTCCGTCGATGTCTATGTCCTGAATATTGGTCGTGAGAAAATATGAAAAAGACTGATTCAACAACTAATCAGAGCAGACTTTACATAGGCAGATACAGTTAACATATAGATGGCCTGACATTCAAGAAACGGTCACAAATAGATGCAAGGTCAACTTTCTGTGAGAAACAACCAGGCTATAAAAATGTACATGAAAGTATATAAATGCGTGTTGATTTCCCTAATAAACGATCTGCTGCCTGGCCCTTGTCTTCTGTTGTTACACTTGTCTCTAAATTGTAACACTGTCACCTGATGACTTGATTTTTTTATTTTAATTTTGATTTACTTTTTGATTACAGCTTGATTCCACATTGTGTTTTTGGTACAAGTATGGAATTTTCAGTATGGATATCGGTAGCCCAAATTTTGTAGGCCGACCATAGATATCAGGTGTGCGTTGGCAGGGGATCGATCCTCAGACCATGTGCATGGTCGGCGAGAGTCTTAACCACTGTGCCACCGACGCCGTACTATCAATTTCTCGGCGCTCACTGGTGAGCACTTCCAAACTTTGACGAAACAATGAGCCAATTCCCTTCTGGTTTTCAATATTTCTTTGAAAGATATCAATTTGTGATGAAATGGTGGGCCTCAGCATTGGGTTTTCAATATCTGTATCAATACAGAATTCAAGTCAGTGCAATTATTTTATGCGGAATATATTGCTGAGACAGCAAAGACTGTAATTCAACTAAAAAAGAGAAATCGGTTGATAAATATGCCCCGACAATCAACAACATAAATAATAAATCATCGTCGCTGTGAGAAATCTAAAGAAAGTCATCTTTTTCTCACTTAATTGGCTTGACACCATAATTCTGACGACAGGTGGTGTGGATGAGAATTTCAAAGCGAACGAAGATCGACAAATCAAGACAAACCTTCACTGGTCTGACATTAGCTGACATTCTGCTGTTAACAGCATTAGAAACAATTTTCAAATCTGCATGATTGATGGTTCACAAACTTTAGTGTGAGCATCATGCAGAGCATTTCCTACAAACTGAAGACTTCTACCAGCAGTTGCTTTCGTCTATCCACACCGAAGATTAAAGTGGACAGTCAGGAAAGATAAGCAAAATCTGACAATGAACCAACTAGAAACCTATCGCCTGAAAAATATGCTAAAATAAATGGAACTGTATTGGATATTGACAGGTCCTAGAGTTGAATTACGAATCCGAAACCACGAGTTGGGTATAGGTCCACTGGCTGAACGCAGAAGATCACATGAACAGGGCAGAAGTGGAGTCAGTCAGAGAAAGCACATAAAACAAGAAGAAACAGGGCTGTACTACGGAACACGCATGTAACACAAGGAACCCAACGGAATCCATCACAACCCTTTCATCATACGAATGTGAATATTATTGAGAGCATTTACCTATTTCTTGGTGATCGAATTTGCATAAATATAAACAAAATTTTGTGGTAAAAAACATTTATGAATTCAAACTGTATGAAATCCCCTACAATTCTTTTAGGTGAAAAGGCAACACGAAAACTAATATGAAACAGTCAAAATAATAATGACAACTCCAGTCATCAATTTTCACCTCAACAACTACATTTAAACACTCTGTCAACGTTTATTTTTAAGCAGTTTTCTGGTTTTTACACAAAAATGCACCATTCTATTTTTCTTGTCCATGTAGATGCGTGCAGTCAATAACAGACGATAGCTAAAATGCCTATAGACAATCATCCAAAAATCGTTCTGATTTTATCAAGGTACCAAAAATCTGAAAACGAATTGTATTCGAAAAACGAGAAACAAAAAACAGAATGCCAACTGTGTCATATATGCGTACAAATGCAAAATATGATGCATTCTTTTGACAAGCAAAGAATAGATGTAAAAATACGGTAACGTGAATACTCTGACACTAATAAAGTACAATTATATTTTAATAGTTTACACACAATGATAAGTTTTGTTTTAGGTAATATTTCAAGCAAAATTCCTGCCTGTGTTCACACCACTGTTGGAATTGTTTTATTCACACATTTATGATTTGTACTCATATATATATAGTTCATTATTATTTCTTTTTGCTCATTCATGTTTTTGTATTCAGAATTATATTCCAAGTTTAGATATGATAGAGAAGATTTGTAGCTCAGGTGGATGATTTTGATGTGGTTTTGTTCTTTGAGCTGGATGGTTAATTTGCGAAGCTTTCATCACCATCCAGCTCAGAGAACAAAACCACATCAAAATATTCCAAGTTGTTGATAGTTGTACTGAGTCACCCTTGTTACATGTATCCGGTGTGACTTTAATGAATATCGATGCTGTTATAAGTCTCTCTTTCCATTTGTTCATGTTAGTTTTTAGAATACACACATTATTCCAATCGATATTGTGGGTTTTTTTCCCATGCATGTGCAGCTATCGATGAATTTTTTTCAAGATTCTTGTAAGCTTGCGTCCTTGTCGGTTGATCTTTGGTTAGGCGTTTGCGTTCATTCACTCTTATTTTGAGTGATCTGGACGTTTGCCCCACATATTAAGTCGGACAGTCAGCACAAGATATTTTATAAATCAAATTGTTTTTATCCATCATTTTTATGGGATCTTTCAGTGGATTTATTTTATTTTTGATTAGATTCGTCGAATGCCGATATTTTTGAGGTTTCTTTGAATTGCCTCTGATGTACCATTTTTATATGGTATTGCGACTGTTTTTTTCCATTCTTTCATGTTGTTCTTTTTCTGTATACAGAGATCAGGGTTGTATTGATGTATTGCCAGCGCCTCCGCCATACACAATAGCCGGAACCTGACGCCCTTTGTACAATTTGGCTTCACTTTGTAGATGATGTTGAAAGACGACTCTGGTGGAGCTATGTGGCCTGAGTTCACCAAATGCTCGAGAATTGAGCTAGTAATTGTCTTATATTGTCCCTTTGCTAACCATGCCGGATAATGTTCAGAGATGCGTTTGGAAAGCGTGCGCTTTGCGCGGCCAATATAACTTGCTCCACACGAGCATGTGAATTTATAAACACACATTGAGGTGGCCCAAAGTGGCAGTTTATCCTTGACACATCCGTTGATCATTTGTCGGCTGTAGAAATTGATACGTAGTTCAGCCATAAAGAAGGCTTTCCTCAGTGATCTGCGTAAGCGATTCTTCAAGATCTCGGCTGCAGTATCACCTTTAAATTCAACACTCATAAAGAAAAGTTTCTTCGGCACAGTCTGAATTCTTTCAGGCTTTTCTCTTAACTTCATGTTTTTCTCGATAAATCTTGGAGGATATCCATTCTCTATGAGAACTTGTCTGAGTCGCTCAAATTCCCCATCGATTGTATCACTTGAACAAATCCTCCTTATTCTTGAGGATAAGGAATGGATCAAATTTCTCTTTCTTCTTAAAGGGACCCAGCTATGGAAATTTGTGTACTGACCATTCCATGCTGGTTCCATGTTGTTCTTCTCCAGTTTTACCCTCTTTTTTCTCTTTTTTATATTATCTTTTATGAATTCTTTTGGGTAGTTGTTTTCGAGTAGCATTTTGAATAGGACTTTTATTTCTTTACACTGGTTCTCTGGTGTTGTTGTAAGTTTACGTACTCTGTCTGCAAGACCTTATATTAATCCTCGTCTTACCATGAGTGGATGAGCTGGGACAAAAAAAAGCCACAATATCGATTGGAACAATGTGTGTGTTCTAAAAACAAACACGAACAAATTGAAAGAAAGACTCATAACAGAATCGATATTCATTAAAGTCACACCGGATACATGTAACAAGGGTGACTCAGTACAACTATCAACAACTTGGAATATAATTCTAAATACAAACACATGAATGAATGTGGAATATAATTCTGAACACACATATACACACACAAAACATGAATGAGCAAAAAGAAATAATAATGAACTATATATATGAGTATAAGTCATAAATGTGTGAACAAAATAATTCCAACAGTGGTGTGAACACGGGCAGCAATTTTGCTCGGAAAATTA